GTTTACCACTCTTCTCAAGCTCAAATTTCTCCTCGCACCACTCCTCTCATTCTCCCCAGATGTTCTGTGTTCCAACTTTATGAGTGAAATAGAGGCTACTAGGTGTAAATCTCCTAAACACCCGTTTACTGCAAAATTCGTTTTTTACCCTCCCCTGTCATTATGTTTCTAACACTGTTAAATAACGATACGAAATAATATTCCCCCAGGAAACAGTGCAGGCATTGCACGCGTGGGAATGAAGAAAGGAGACATCAGCGTAGTCTAGAGTGGTTGGTTCATCGACTCAGAGAGAGGGCTGGCTGAGCTCGAGCTGAACTTTGAGGCTTGGGTTTAGGGAGAAATGGGTAGGTCATTTCAGGTGGAAAAGCATGCGGTTGGAAAAAGAGTGGAAGAGGGAATAACCTGTACTCTTGCTACACATGGTGTGGCCCAAACCTGCAGCTTGGACCCCGGGAGAGCTTGTTGGAAACGCAGAGTCTCAGGTCCCTCCCCGGCCTCGGGGATCACACTGCACGTCAGCATTTGGGAGACGCTGATACGCGCCGTTTGTGTGGCGCTGCTCCGTGGACTGCTGGCTGAAGAAGCATCGCATCACGCTGACCCTCAGAATAGATTGGCTGGGTCTGAATGAGTTAGATGAAGGTGTGCCACTGTGTGTCCATTCTTTCTAGAAGAATCCATGAAGTTTACTGAGGTTTCGATTTGCTGAAAGTTTACTAGAGCTGAGCTCCAGACTCAGTTTTACAGATTCCACGTTCTTTGCCCACCCACCACCGCGCAGGGAGAATTGAATAGGCCGGCGGAAAGCCTGAGCGTGGGCGAGGCAGCAGCTGGGCCATGTGGTGGATCTGGAATGCTGGGCCTTTTGTTATTCATCCATTAATACGTTTTGACCAGAAGAGTTTCATGGGTGTCTCAGGGAGACTGGTCTGGGGGAGGGATGAGAGTCAGGAGGACACAAGACTTAAGAGACACCAGTTATTCAGGACACAAGGACTAAAATATGTTTTTATTGATTTGAGAGAGAGAGAGAAAGGGAGAGGGAGAGTGAAACATCGATATGAGAAAGAAACATCAGTTGGTTGCCTCCCATATGCACCTCAAAAAGGACTGTACCTGCAACCTGGGGATATGCCCTGACCGGGAATCGATGACACTCCACCAGCTGGGCCACACTGGCCAGGGCTAAATTCTTTTAAATTCCAAAGCTACGTAGTATTAGTAAGTCACCCCAAAATATTTGTGGGATACTCACTTTGTTCTGGGTAAGGGGCATTTGGTCTTGCCTTCGTGATACGGTCTCGCCCATATAATGCTCTTGGTTGAGTCACTTAGATAACCAAGGACCAAGTGCCCGGAAGACTGACAATAATGTCAAGAATAAAATCGCCTTTGGTTTTTTCTGTTTCTTTTATTCTCGGAGAAAAGCTCTGGCCCCAACGTTTGGTTTTGCTATTAGTGTTGTCAGTAACCTTGAATGAGTCACTAATCGCTGTGTCGCTCATCGTTCCTGCCACAACGTAAACATCCTACTCACCATGACTTCATAGACGAGATATTGTAATGAGATCATTATGGGAGACAGTTTTGGTTTCCTGAGTATTAGGAAAGCTTGTAATGCCGTTAAGTATAAAGTTACTTTTAAAACCTCCACTTTTTGAAACTTTTAAAATTTCAGTCCCCTAGTGCGTTTTAGTCACTCTTCTCGGTATAATTACACGGGGAGGGAAAGAGCCCCAGCCATCTGTGGCTCCTGCTCGCCTTCCCTGGAGGTAGCACTTGAGAAGATAATGATTTATTTGAGGTGTTGTTAGTCCCACTCCGAAGGAGAATGGATGGTGGTTTCTCATTGTGCCTCGAAGGCCCATCTGCTGATGGGTGCGATTCATTAGACAGGAATACGTGGGCATGCATGTGCCTGGTCGTCATAGAGAAACAGCAGAGAAGAGTGAGGGAAGATTTGTGCTGGGGGCGGGGGGCGGTGAGCTCTGCGACACCGTCACAGTGGAGGAAGGGAAAGCCACCCCTGCATTCCGCGTGCAGGTGGAGCATCCCCGTGACTAGATGAGTGCTACACGTTTGACTTCCGATGACCGCATGACCCGTGTAGGTGGCTCTGGGGCAGAGGACCTAACGGTGATCTCTATGCAGTTTACGCATCACCTTTCACCTGTTCCTCACGGGGCCCTTTCCATGGCGTGTATCACACAGTGTCAGAGCTGCCTGCTGCCTGACTCCCGGACCTGTAGAAAAACCAAGCATGGCCCCACGTGTCCGAGAAGACAGGCTGGTGCCGTTTTACGGAGGCTGCACGGCATAGAAGAGTGCGCGTCACTGATCCTCCTGGTGGCATGAAGCCATGGCCGTGTGTGCTCAGTTGGGGTGCGTGTGTGCGCACACGTGTGCATGGAATGGGCAGCGGAAACCTTGTGAAGGGTGGTGGAGGGTGGACAACTATGTGCAGATTAAACAGTGGTTAAGTCCAGTCGAAGGTTATAAAGGACTATCCCTGGAATTTTGAATTTCTTTAAATTGTATTGTAAGTTTTTATACTATATTTTAAAATATAACTCAGTCAAGTACATATTATGCTTACCTGCTTTAACAAAGCACTCTTGCTTGTGGTGTGTGTGTGTGTGTGTGTGTGTGTATACTGTTTTTGGAGACATTGAACTATGCCACAAAAAGTCCTCATGTTTAGATCGTGAATTCAAGGCCAGGAGACTCCTGGCCGCTGGTGACTGCTGTCTGAACTGAGGCTACAGTGTGGAGGAGGGGAGTGGGCATGTTAGTCTTTAGATCAGCAGGTGGTGTTTCCCCTCCTCCCACGGTGTGAGCCAGCGAGGTGCAGCGTCCTCAGCGTGCAGGCGGAAACCCGTGGAAAAGCGTCGGGTGCCTGACAAGTGGGGCTGCTGATGGCTGGTCAGTAGTCCATCTCGAAGCTCCCTCTTAACGCCTTTCTCCTTCGTTTCTCCTGTGTCTCGTTTCTGTGCCTCGTAAACCCACAAAAGCCAGAAACAGACGTCTCCAGCTCTGTGAGCTTATGGCTGGCGTTCCCCGCATCGATGGTTTTGTGTGTTTGCTCCCCCAGCTCTACGTGGCCACGGAGGCCATTCTCATCGCGCTCGTGGGGGCCACGCCCTCCTACCGCTGGGACCTGGCCAAGCTCCTGCCGAACCAGAGCCACGGCAGCCAGTGGGCTGGTGAGGACCTGGCCCTGGGGGACTGGCTTCTGAAGGCCAATGGCAGCGAGGTGCGCAAGCACGTGCACTTCAGCGGCAGCTTCACCTCCATTGCCTCCGAGGTAAGCCCGGGGTGGGGAGCAGCGGAGCAGAACCCGGCCATGGGGATCGCTAAGCCAAGGCGTCTCCTTGTCCAAACGGAACCGCTGTTTTGTCTTGTTGATTTAAATTTCAGCCACATCTGCAGGTAACTGTCTAGTGAATTTGAGAGTTAAAGGAGGCTGATCTATGAAAGCATTTTCTTTTTCCTTCCTTCTACAAACGGGAGAAGCACGAGTCTTACCAAGTTAGTAAGCTATCAACTCCAAAAGAGCTGTACTTCGATGCTAGTGCCCTTTGGAAAGGTGAAGGAAAACGTCCATGTTTCTTTATTACAGACACAGAAATTAACAAAGTAGCGAGAAATGGAATGACCCATCGGCAGCGTCCATGGTTCATGCTGAAGTCCAGTCCCGTGTGTAGGCCTTGCGGGGCACCTTGACTGTACAACCTCAAGGCCAAACGCGCCACCTCGTGTGGGCAGGAAGCCTTATGTTCAAGTGGGGCTTTGCTGGCTAAGGTGGTTCTTACAAGGACAGTCCCTCCTGAGCCAGCCAGAGGGAAATACGCTGAGGCTGGACAGCTTGGTGGAGAGAAACCCTAAGACGAGACGGGCCGGCTCCTGCTCAGCTGGAAAGCACCCGTACTGGTTGTTAAAATGCTAAAATATCGTGTCCTTTGCCTGCTTCCCACAGCTATCCGTTTGCTCACCGCCATCCTAGAAATCCCTCCCCCCATTCATTTTTTTTTTTTTAGTTTTTATCATTGTGTATTGAATTTTGTCCTATACATCAATTTACAATTTTCTATGTTAATTGTAATGATCGTGTGATTTTTCTTCCTTAGCTTCTAACAGGGTGGATTATACTAATTAATTTTCAAATACAGTGGGGCCTTGACTTACAAGTTTAATTCGTTCCGAGACCGAGCTTGTTAAGGAGCTCGTTAACTCAAATTACTCTATCAACTCAATGCAAAAAATCGGCCGAGAGACAGCTGGTATCTCAAAAAACTCGTTAGTCGGGACACTCATAAGTCAAGGCCCCACTGTATAGAACCAGCCTTGAATCTCTGGATGGCATATAATTATTTTCATATATTGCTGAATTCTATTTGTTAATATTTTGCTAAGGATTTTGGCTTCTATATTCATGATGGATATTGGCCTATTGTTTTCTTGTACTAGCTTTGTCTGGTTTTCATATCAGGGTAATACTAGCTTCATAAAATGCATTAAGAAGGGTTTCTATTTTCTGGAAGAGACTGTGTACAATTGGTGTCAGTTTTTTAAACATTTGGTAGAATTCTTCATTGAAATAATTTTGGCCTGTAGATTTCTTCTTGTGGAGTTTTAAAATTATGAATTCAATTTTCTTAATAACTATAGGGCTATTTAAATGCTCTGTTTTGTATTGTGAGTTATAGCAGTTGGGCTTGTCAAGGAATTGTCCATTTCATCTAAGTTGTCAAATTTATATGTGTAGAGTTGTTCGTACGCACACACATATACATGCAAAGGAATACTGCTTAGCCATAAAAATAATGAAATCTTGCCATTTGTGGCAACATAGATGGACCTAAAGAGTATTATGCTAAGTGAAATATGTCAGACAAAGACAGGTACCGTGTGATTTCACTTATACTTGGAATGCAAAGAACAAAACAAACAGACAAACAAAGCAGAAACAGACTCACAGATACAGAGAACAGACTGATGGTTGGTTACCAGAGAGGCGGGGGCTGGGAGGATGGGTCAAGAGGGGAAGGGACTTAAGAGGTACCAGCTTCCCGTTATGAAGTAAATAGGTCACGGGGATGCCATGTGCAGCATAGGGAATGCAGTCAGTAATTCCGCAGTATCCGTGCAGAGAGAGGCGCTCACTAGACTTACGGTGATGATCACATCGTGAGGCGTATAAACGTCGAATCACTGTGTTGTCCACCTGGACTAACATAATATTTTATGCCAGCTATACTGTAATGAAAGAAAAAAACAGTAAAAGTACAACTTAGGAAAAAAATTTGTCAAGCCCAAATAAACGTACAGGTTTCCTGCAATAGCAAAAAATAACAAAGGAGAATGAAATAAAATGAACGCTGACTCTGTGCTGCTCAGGGGCCGCCTGGGTGTTCAGACCCCAGCAGCTGCTGCCCATGTGTTAACAGCATCGCCCCGTCTCCACTCGGAGTGTATTCAGGCAGATCCAAGGAGAGCTCGTCTGCTTTGCGTTTCAGGGCAGAATCTCATGTTCCCCCCAAGTCATTTATTTTATTTCCATGTACAGGTGAGGTGCCCCCCTTTCCATGCGCATCCCCACTCCCAGTGTGTGAGTGACACGTGTGTCCATACGTTCTATCTCTGCCTTGGACGCCGGAGCCCTAATTGGGTGGCCTTGCAAGTCCCGGAGTGGTTCCAGGAGGTGGGATGGGTGGCTCCCGAGTTTCCTGCCGCCGCCACCAAAAATGCCGGAGCTGGCAGAGAAACGGTGGCAGAGGGAAGAGTAGCGAGAACGGTGATCCCTAGCAGCAGGGCCAGCAGGGCCGGGCCGTGGCCACAGAGCCGCTCCGTCCAGTTCACCTTTACTGCAGTGCAGTCCCAAACCCAGCCCCCCGCCCGCTTTCTTAGCGCTCACTCCATTCTGATGACCTCTCTGGTGCTGCAGTTGCTCCTCAAAATCCCCAGAGCGGCCGTATTGAAGCTGGTACCAAACTTGTCATTACGTTGGTAAATATCCTTAATGCACAGTCTGTGGCACATAGATAATATATGCTGCTTCCTGAACTTATTTGCTATAAAATTAGAGTTAAAAAAGCAAGTATAAAGTCTTGTAGGCACTTTTAAAGGTAATTATCCAGATAGGGCCTGCAGAACTCTATAGTTTGGGATGGCGTTAAGAGTACTCATTTTATATTTATTTGCTTATTATTTATTTATTTTATTTTTTATTGTTGACACTATTACGGATATTCTTCATCCCTCCCCTCCTTTGCCCACCTCTACCCAGCCCCCATCCTCCGCCCTCCCCTGGCCCTCACCACACTGTCGTCTGTGCATGTATGTTCTTTGGCTGCTGTCTTCACCTTCTTTCATCCAATCCCCCACCCCCTCCCCTCTGACATCTGTCAGTCTGTTCCATGGATCCCTGCCTCTGGTTCTATTTTGTTTGTCAGCTTATTTAAAACTCTCACCTGCCCCTTATTACATTCAGGTCAGGCCTTGCAGGAGTTATTCATGGAGGGTTTGGGGGAGGGTGAATAAAAGGTTATGTAGATATGATTAACTTGGTATTAATGCAAAAAAACCCACACAAACCCTCTAATTTAGGAGTCTTGACTATTTTAAAATGAGCTAATAGCCATTGGGGTGAATTGATGTAGCAAATTGCTGTCTGCCGTATTCACATTACTCCCCGAGCTCTGACTCATTGAGAAAGGACCAAATATCACGGAGACATGCAATTATCGTGCTTAATTAATGTTTGCAACCAAAAAGAGTCAGGCTGGAGTCTTCAATATCATGGTAGATGTAACAACCGAAATTGACTGATTATTATCTTGAGATTAATGTATTTTCGCAAGTCATACCCTGGGGTCAAAAGACAGAATAGTAAAACTATTGAAAAATTGACCGCAATAATTGCTTGAGGGGCTAATTTTTTAAATGTCTTGCTTCCCTACGCCTGTGCTTCTGACCGTTCTAGACTGCGCACTTCACCCAGTAAGTGGTAATTCCGAGTGACAACTGCACCGAGATGAAGCAAGTTCGTTAATCGCCATGAAATTGTTCCTGAAACACCCTGTCCGAGTTCTTCCTAATCACAGGAGGCCTCTGAGCCCCCGATTTTCTCCCGAAGTGAGATTTTTCCTGCCCCCAACTGGGAATATTTTGGGGGGTAATACAGGACAGTGGGGGAACGGAGTGGCGTTGGAATTGTTATCAGGATTCTTCCGAATATGTCCCAGAACAGCCCCCAGCTCCCCAGCGGTGCCGAGCGCCCGGGGTCCTGCAGCCGGGCGGGGGGAAGCTGCTGTGTTCCAGCCCCGCAGCCTCGATATACTGACAGCAGGCTGTGGCACTCACAAGGTGGCTCACCGTGGCTAACGCAGTAGAGAAGTTCGGGTGTACAGGTTTCGTTGTACGTTTGTTTTTTTCGTAGCTGACTCAGTCCACCCATCTTTTCGGTGACCTAACTCTCTCTTGTTCTTCCTTCCTCCAGTGGTTTCTGATCGCCAACAGGTCGTACAAAGTCAGCGCGGCCAGCTCCTTCTTCTTCAGCGGCGTGTTTGTGGGCGTGATCTCTTTCGGGCAGCTTTCCGATCGCTTCGGGAGGAAGAAGATCTACCTCACAGGTAACCCACCGGAGTGTTCGTGAACCGAATGAGGACACGTTTCCCCGAGGTTCCGGGGAATGGCCATGTGGACGAGGAACTGTTTTTCATTACACTATCAAGAGGCTGAGCGGCAGCCAGCGTGGATTCCGGCCAAGGTTTTCAAGTGGCCAGCAGAGATGGCAAAGGCCAGATATTTGCATTGGAAGCTTTTCAGAGATGATGGTGCTTTCTGTCACCCCCAAATTCTAATTTATGCCGTTCCTAAAGAGAGCAACGATTGAGATAGTCTTCTAGGCCCATTTCCTTCTATCTTGTGTTGTTGATTCATTTTGAATGGGCTCTACAGGACTCAGCATAGCTCTCTTGACAAGCTGAGTATGAGCTAGGGTTATCTTTATCTATCTATCTATCTATCTATCTATCTATCTATATACACATACATATACATACATATATATTTATTTCAGAGAGGAAGAGAGAGAGGGAGAGAGAGATGGAAACATGAATGATGAGAGAGAATCATAGAGAATCACTGATTGGCTCCCTCCTGCACACCCGCTACTGGGGATCAAGCCTGTAACCTGGGCATATGCCCTTGACTGGAATCGAACCTGGGACCCTTCAGTCCACAGGCCAACGCTCTAGCCACTGAGCCAAACCAACTAGGGCTGAAACAGAATTTTAAAAAAATTACCAGCGTTTTTGATCGACAGAAATCAACCTGTGGCAAAGAAAGAAAAATCTCAGTGTTTGTTTATGGTTTACAAGAGAAACCTTTTTTAAAACAAACCGGCAGAAAATTTCAGCGTGCACAGATTTACGTTTGCAAACTAATGAATAGGATTGTTTCCTCCCACCAGGTGCTGTTTCGTTTGTGGGTCACTGAATGCTGTTCCTCTCTTTCCAGGTCTTGCGCTTGACATCTTATTTGCTATTGCGAATGGGTTTTCACCCTCATACGAGTTCTTCGTGATGACCCGCTTCCTGGTGGGCGTGATGAATGGAGGGATGTCCCTGGTGGCCTTTGTCCTGCTGAACGAATGTGTGGGCGCCGCCTACTGGGCACTCGCAGGTACTGCTGGGTCCACGCAGATGTGGAGGTGGTGCGCGGCTTCCGAAAACTCTGCAGGGAACCAGTTTAACCCTGGAGTCTAAGGATGCACTTGGACTGGAAGTGCTCTGTCCAACCGTTAGATTTGCAGTCCTGACCGTGAAGGAGTCACTTGAATTCCACTGTAGAAAGTCTGCCTCACAGACGGCGGGCGCTCTCGGCCCACCCTCACAGAGTGTCTCCAGATTGTTGGGAAAGGGTCGGTTTCCCTGAAGGGCATTCACTGCCCCCTCGCTGCCAGACCATTCCGATTATTCCAGTTCCGTTGCAACAGTGGAACCAGAGCGTTGCCAAATTCACGGTAGAATTAGAGCAGTAGAATTAGAGCGAGTGTGAGAGAGTTCCCGGAAAGCCCGCCCACTGACCCGCACCCAGGACAGCAGGATTCTGACGGCACCTGGAGCTCTTTTGAGATCCGGCCGTCCCCAGGGTCCTGTCCTTGGCCCTCAGGTCGCAGCTGGTTTCTCTCCAGCAGTTGTGCACGCCGCTGCGGCTGCAGATAGGCTGTTGAATGGCAAGAGGGTGGGGAAAACCTGAGTGCTCAGCAGCAGGGGATGGATCGGAAGTGGCCTCATTGTTCACAGTAAAAAAATTATTGGAAGATTACGCTTGATTACAAAATACTGTTTGCAGTACGTCCAAAATGCTAAGTAAAATAGTTATAAGAAAGTGTAAGCATAAACCTAAAACATCCTTTTTGTTGTTGTTGTTAATCCTCCTCCAAGGATATTTTTCCATTGATTTTAGAGAGAGTGGAAGGGAGAAGGAGAGACAGAGAGAGAGAGAAACATCGATGTGAGAGAGACACGTTGATCGGTGCACCCTCATGCGCCCTGACCAGGGCCAGGGGTCAAGTCTGCAACCGAAGTACGTGCCCTTGGCCGGAATCGAACCCGGGACCCTTCAGTCCGCAGGCTTGACGCTCTATCCACTAAGCTAAACCAGCTAGGGCTGGAGCTTATGTTTTCATCAGGAGGGGCAGAATAGATTTGAGGTCATTTCAGAAATCATAAGTACAGTGAAGAAAAGGTCTCATCCTGTGGTCACCTCTTTCTGCCAACACTGTTGTCAGTGGATGTTGGTACTCGGAACCGATCCGAGTGACAGAGGCCTCATTCTTGGGAACCAGGTGCTCTCAGATGCGCTGTAATGAACCTGTAATAGCTATCGATTATCTTGCGTTTCCAGGGAAATCACACTCGCCCATTCCCCTGCTTATCGGGCCACATGTTCTGAACACTGAGCATCGCTCTCCCTTTGGTTCCCCTTTGCCTCACAGGGCCCACAGTATACATGTCGTTATTTTTAGTTACCGCTTGATAATCTACGAACAGAATAAAACATTTGTTTTACAGGATTTTTGTAGAGATTTTTTGTAACAGGTTCAACAGAGCCCATTGCTTTGAGATGCCCACAGAAGCTCACCTTTCCTTAGAAGGGCGATAGGAGAGAGGGACGTAGGCAATGCAGTCTCACCAGTCAGACTGACCGGGTTCGGGTCCCTGCCACCCACAGCACCTGACCATCTGAGCTCTGTCCTCACTCCATAGACGGCTAATGATGGTCCCTGCGGTCTAGGGCAGTATATGCAAAAGGCTTACTGCTCAATAAATCATGGCTATTATATAAATAGTAGCTACTTCTGGTACTGTTAGCAATAGCAGGTATGGAAAGCGTGACAGAGGAATAGACTTTGCAAGTATATTGGACAAGCCGGTGGGTTTAATACCCACCCAGCATTTCTTTTAAAAAATACGAGTTTTTTTAACAATCCCGTGGTTGGTTTTTTCCCCTATTAGTGTGTTGACAATAATCCATGCTTCATGGCGCTTATATTCTACTTGGGAGAGATAGACAAGAAAATAAATATGAAGTGTCATATCTGATGGTGATAAATTAAGTTGGGGAGGGCAAAAGGGAGAATTGGGAGGTAGGTTGTGATTTAAGATAAGGACCCCAGGGGCAGCGTCTGTGACGAAATGAAGTCGCAGTATTGCACTAATCTCATGACCTAACCACCTCCCGGTCATATAGCAAACAATGTTTCCAAGCCTCGGCCACGGATCAGGCGCGTGCCAGTCCGACAGGCACGGCCTTCAAATCCGCCTGGACCGCGTGGGGTGTGTATTTTTCATCTGTCCTTCCCCCCTTTTCACTCGGTTGCTGGCCTCCCTTCCAGTTTATCATCTGAGGCTCGATATTTGTGTAGGTTTCTCTTTCCCGCTGACTTCTCACGAGGAAGGAACTGGCTCGGTGTCGGGCTGGGAATGGTCTGCAGACGGGGCCTCCCCAGTCACAGGTCTCTCTTCCCTGAACCAGGGTCGATCGGCGGCCTCTTCTTCGCAGTCGGCATCGCCCAGTGCGCCCTGCTGGGGTACTTCATCCGCTCCTGGAGGAGCCTGGCCGTGCTGGTGAACCTGCAGGGGACAGCGGTCTTTCTCTTATCTTTGTAAGTAGTTCCCTCTCGCGGAGTTTAGGCTCAGTAAGCAGAAGGAATGCCTTCAGAGGATGCGGGTCAGTGAGCGGCGTTATTCCCTTGTAGGAATTCGCCTGCACTGACTCGGGTGAAGAACTAAATTCCGCGAGCGCTCCCATGCTTGGCAGCTTCTGGGAAGAGAGATGCCTAAATTAATTCAGAATGCAGGTATCCCTTGTTTAAAGTAACCTCTCCCAAAACTGCATTTTAGCCTTCAAATGATGGCATCGGGGTCCAATTTCTTTTTAACCTGATGCCTCAAACTTAAAGGTCTTCCGGCTGGATCACAGCGTGGACTGGATGTGCGACAGAGTAGGATTTTTTAAAAAAATCTATTTTTTATATAAAAGACCTTGCCGAAACCGGTTTGGCTCAGTGGATAGAGCGTCAGCCTGCGGACTGAAAGGTCCCAGGTTCGATTCCGGTCAAGGGCATGTACCTGGGTTGCGGGCACATCCCCGGTGGGAGATGTGCAGGAGGCAGCTGATCGATGTTTCTCTCTCATCGATGTTTCTAACTTTCTATCTCTCTCCCTTCCTCTCTGTGGAAAATCAATAAAATATATTTAAAAAAAAAATAAAAAAAAATAAAAGACCTATTCATAGTAATATATACTGTCAACTCTTCACCTTACAGATGAGTATCATTTCAGGGCCTTTGCGTGTGGATGCGGGAAAATTTTCAGCTACGGGAGGAATCCTTAGCTAAGGTGCATGGGCTCAGCAGTAAATGGACGAGCCCTGGTCAGGGAAGGGTTTACAGACGACTCACCCACAGTGTTACCTTGGTGCTCTCGGCCGTAAAGGCCAGCCGCCAGCCTCAGCTGCTTCCCCAGAAGTGTTCAGGGGCTTCTGAAAGGGTTTCTCTGGAGGAGTCAGACGCTCAATTTAATCATCAAAACCTTTGGGCTAAATGCGATGTGCAGGCCATGGTCCCAGCTCTCTTCCGTGGCAGACAGTGAGGGAGAGCTGTGGTAGAATTTTCACTCACCTAGATCTTTAACCTAGCAGCTCTTTATTCAGGTTCAAAAGCAAGTACGGAAATGAATAGAGTAGAAATAGTTGACCTCTGTTTAAAGTGGCCCATTTACTAAAGACTTAATCAGCTAGTGTACATAGCACCTCACCTGTGCCCAGGGCCAGCTGATCCGACGGATGATCGGCACACGTAACGCCCAACAGAACAATATTTTACTTGATCATTTACTTGTATTAAGTAATAATAACCACGTGGTAATGCGGACGGAGGTAGAGGGATTTTTCAGGATCTTGTAGAAGGCCCCAGGTCCCGCTTTTGTTGACAATTTAACATTGTACATGAATATTCCCTCCCCAGTAGCAGAGCTCCTGGGAAAGATCCTGCCTTTTGTTTGCATAGTCTTTCCTCTCTGCACCTGCCACCCTGGGGGTCAGAATGAGACGGCTCCATAGATGGCCCTTGACGGACTGGCTGTCCAGGAACCTCCGAATTCTGTGGCGTTTGTTGCCAATTCACTCCCCTTGCTGACAGGCACCTTCAGTAGCCAGTGTGATTTACACACGTTTCATTTTAGGCCAATCAGGTCACATTAGATCCAGAGGTACTTGATGTTGTGTTTAGTAAACAAGGCTTTGTGCTCCTGCCACCGTTTTGTCTTTGAAAAGTCCTCCAGGGGTGCGTGCAGAACTGGGAGGAGAAGACACACGTGCCCGGCCAGCGTGGCTCGGTGGTTGAGGGTCGACCTATGAACCGGGAGGTCATGGTTCGATTCCCAGTCAGGGCACATGTTGAGGTTGTGGGTCCCAGTGTGGGGCGTGCTGGAGGCAGCCAGTCAATGATTCTCTCTCATCATTGATGTATCTCTCTCTCCCTTCCTCTCTGAAATTACATATACATATGGGTCTTAAAACTGTTGGAAGATGTCAGTGGCGATATCAATGTCCAGTACGTTGTGCTGTAGTAGAAAGGAACTGCTGTTTTGTAACTGGAAGTTAATAAGGAAGCCACTCTTGTTTCATAAGATCTTGGGGGGGATTCAGGAAATGCCCTCAGATGCTTTGAATATTTTGAAGCAGTAAATGCTCCAAAGTAACTGAATAGTGATAAACCCTGTTTAACTTTTATGTGTGGCCTTCAAATAATCTCTGCCCTCATGGTCACATATCACTACCTTTAAAACACTTTGTACCAATTTATTTTTTCTGATGAGATAATAAAGATTTTTATCTTCTTTATGGGGCTTTTCGAGAACTGAAAACGCCTGCTACCTCCACAGTGTAATTCCAGCAACACCTGGCTGTGATTTAGGGCCGTAACTCTGACCCCTGCTTCAGGAGGCATTGGTAGTATTTAGTGCGATAGTCTGACCTTGCCATTCATATTAAATGGTCTTAAACGTGACCGCACACTGTTTACCGGTGTCACTGCTATTTGGGAAGCGGGGTCTAAGTTCCCATTCAGAGAGTAGATCACCGCTTAGCCCGGGCAGCTGTTGAGTCGCCCGCCCTGTCTTCCCTGTGTCTTTGGGAGCGTCGGCTTTAGGCCTGCGGTGGAGTCAGCGGTGGTGAGGGAATCGAGCGCGGCCTGGGTGAGCTGCCCCCGCCTGGTCACGTGTGCCTGTGTGAATATACAGCCTTTCATGACGTCTCTTTCAGATTCATTCCTGAATCACCTCGTTGGTTATACTCCCAGGGTCGACTGAGCGAGGCGGAGGGGGCTCTGTACCTCATCGCCAGGAGGAACCGCAAGCTCAAGTGCACGTTCTCACTCACTCACCCGGCCAACAGGAGCTGCAAGGCGTCGGGGAGTTTCCTGGACCTGTTCCGGCACCGGGTCCTCCTGGGGCACACGCTGACCCTGATGTTCATCTGGTAACTGTAGCCGCGTGTGTGTGTGTGTGTGTGTGTGTGTGTGTGTGTGTGTGTGTGTGTGTGGGGGGGGGGCGTTGATCTCCAGCTCCCGCTGCGAAGGGTCTGTTGGGAATCTGGTCCTTCAGGGTGACATACGTTTTACCTCTTTTGCCAGCACAAAGTTACTTTCACAGACACAAGGCCCCCTCCCCAAATGCCTGGCCTTGGCCTCTGTGTCACACCCTCCCACTCAAGGAAAGGATGGTGCCTGAAGGCAGGTTTACCAACTTTGATGGCAGAAGCACATCTCTGCTCCTGAGATATTTGACGCCAATATTGGTCGCCTGCAAAAAAACGAACAAAACAAAACACCGGGCCCGCTCAGTGTGGCTCCGTTGGTTGGAGCACCATCCTATACACCAAAAGGTGGCGGTTTGATCCCCAGTCAGGCCACATAGCTTGGCTGCAGCTCCGATCCCCAGTCAGGGCCCATGTGGGAGGCAGCCTGCCAATGTTTCTCTCTTCTCTCCCTTCTTCCCTCTGAAATCAATTTTTTAAAGAAGGAAAGCAAGCAAGCATAGCAGAAACGGAAGTGTTTCTAAATAGGCTTTGGTTTTGGCATCGAGCCGTGGGAGGGCACATTGTGGTTGGGCTGCACCCTGTGTGGCATCGCCACTTGCTCACGGGTGGCCTGTCACTATCCGCTGGACAAGTGGAACCCTGGGAGTGTGGAGTGCGGGACTCAGCACCCCCCGTGCAGATCAGGGATGAAGGGGTCGGCCTCTCTGGAGCTGATCTTCAAGTTTGGTTTATTCCAGCCCACCTCTCAGCGTGCTCTCGGCATCAGTGTACATGGCAGTGAAGGTTCAGGGCGAGGGGAGGAGCGGATGGGCAGTGCGTGCGGTGTCTGGTGTGTGTGATGTTGTGCATACTGCTGGTGCCATAGATGTTACCTGGTCCAGCGCTGGGTGTCAACATCAGGTTTACAGGCCCGGAGGACGTGTGCTGTGGTCTGTACGTGTTGACCGTGAAGGCTGCAATCATGGGGATAAAGAAGAATCATTTCATAGGAACGCGATCGTGGGTCCAAAGCTAAAGGGAATGGGAGGATCGGGAATAAGAAGCCGTGGCGATGTTTTTCTACGTCAGTATTCTCTTTACTGGCTCACCTACTAGCACTGGCCGCCGCCTGTGTGGTCAGGGCTGGTCACACCGACCGCCCCTCCCTCCCGGTGCCGGTGGTGTGGCACAGATGCTTGGCATGTTGCACGAAGGACACGGGCGTGGAGGCGTGGAGATGAAGGGAACCGTCAACAGCGCAGCCTGACATCACAGCTGCTAGTCTGAGATGCTCCCTGTTGTAGATACTCACAAAGCACAGGCAGGTGCCTTGGGCTTCACACACTCTCCCTGTGTGTGTCCCATGGACAGGCCAGCCCTCCGCCTCAAAGGAGCCCCTACTTCTTGGGGAGTACTTACGTCTTGTTTTTAATGTGTGTTTTTTTTTCGAGGCATATTAACTTTGGGGTTCTGGCCTTCAGGGGATAAAGCATAAACAGGTGAAAAAACCAACAGACTGGACTTAGAGCCCGGGGAGCACGTCCCTGCTTATATCATGTCTTACACAACCAAAGGGACTGTTCACAAATGAAATTCTCTCCCCCGGGCTCAGAACTGTAAAATCCACGATAACAGAGACGTGTCCTGGTGCACACTGGTTCTCCCGGAAGGAGCTAGAAAGCTCTGGATTCTTCCTGTGGTCCCCGCCATTAAAAACCACGCCCTGTGATTACTCCCCGTGTTAGCATCTGTTTCTGGGCTTACCTCCCTCAGTGGTGCCTTTTTGAGTGCTTGCTTGGCGCCCTGAATATACTGCTGAAGGTTGTGCAAGCATTCTGAATTTTGTTCGGGGCCCATAACGAGGATTGCAGTGATTTTAAACACTGTCGTCACTCATCCCAGTGACCGGCTCTGCCATCAAGGAAACAAGCGAGCGAGTCCGCCTTGGGGCCAGAGCCTTCCTTGCCCACGCCCTCCCCTCTGTCACCCCCAGCTGGTGACTAAATTCCCCCGGTGTCCTGAGCCGGCTCTGCTCACTCGCGCCCTGGTTGCTACCGTCGCAGCTTGGTTTAGATGGGCGTGTGCTTCCCTGGCTGGGAGTCCTTCCCGGGATTTCTGTTTTCCATGCAGAGCAGACACGCAGGAGCACCGACAGCACGTTAGGAGCAGCATCATTGAAGGGCAGGGTCTCTACGGCAGGTAGAAAGGATTTTAAAATATTTCAGAAAACGGCATGGGTCCAAATTGACTTGAGAGCAGGTAGGACTTCGATTTAGTAGCTCCTGTGCTGTGCGGTCAGGTTTGGCTTTAAAGCTTCCCTTCATGTCCACATCTCCCAGCTCGTGTCCTCTGTTCGGGCAAAGTGCAAGGGGACAAGGGAAACAGACAACTCGGTGGCACCTTGCGTCCTTACCTGTGATGTCCTGGCTACCGCACTGCTCGTGGCCCTTAGTACACGCGTGACAGCTCTGCCCAGTAAGAAGTCACGGAAGTAGCTGCTGCCTGGCTCACTGGCCAGAGAGGCATGAGCACCAGGCAGTCCAGCTGCAGGACCTCTCTCTCTCCCTCTCTATCTCAAAACTGAGCTCCTTTTTTTCCCCTTGGAAGATTGTGGCACTTTTTTAAAAAAAATATTTTTTTAATTGATTTCAGAGAGGAAGGGAGAGGGAGAGAGAGATAGAAACACAAATGATGAGAGAGAATCATTGATCGGCTGCCTCCTGCACACCCCCTACTGGGGATCGAGCCCGCAACCCAGGCATGTGCCCTTGGCTGGAATCGAACCCGGGACCCTTCAGTCCACAGGCTGACGCTCTATCCACTGAGCCAAACCGGCCAGGGCAGCCAGACATCTTTTCAAAGGGCTGTTCCCGAGGGGGTCATCTGCCCTCACCATCCCCTGGCCGTTTCTCTCCTGTTCGGTGTCTGCAGCACGTGCACCTGCTGAGTGCCGGGTGGGGCTGAGGGCCTGGCGGGGGTTGCAGTGCAGTCATTTCTGGCCCCCAGGTGACACTGGCGACCCAGTCACTTCTCAGCCCACATCCTCAACGCCACTCTCTGTCGGCTTTCCCCTGGGACTTCTTTTCTAGAGTCATTTTGATAATCTCACAGCAATTGCCTAAGGCCAGTGTTCTATAACTTGTGTTAAATAAAGTAAGACTGGAGTCCCTGTCTGCTATTCGGTGCAGAAATGCTGGTGATGGCACAAACCAGGTCTTTTCTCTCAGCAGGCCGCCCCTTTGCTTCGACCAGCATCTAGACAAGTGGTTTCCAAGGCCCTTTATTCTTCGTCTTCTCCTCGTTCAGAAATTTAGATCAGGATGGCAATGTTAGCGGGAGAGTCGGACCCATTGCTTGAGGCAGATCGCAGTCTACCAAACTGGCACTGGGATCCCCGGCAGATTGTCATGAGCGTTCCCTCTGCCCCTTCCCTCCTCCTGCAGGTTTGTGTGCAGCCTGGTGTACTACGGCCTGACTCTGAGTGCCGGGGACCTGGGCGGGAACCTCTACGCCAACCTGGCCCTGTCTGGCCTCATAGAGATCCCCTCCTACCCTCTCTGCATCTACTTGATTAACCACAAGTGGTGAGTATGGATGAAGATTGAAGTGTACCCCCCCACACACACACAAACACACACTCACACTCACATGTGTAAGTCCCTACATATGACTGTCTTTGCCAACATACAGTATCTGTTAATTATACCACAGTGATTAGAATTCTTTTCTTTTCACGTTTTGTACAGTATCTCTAGGCTTTCGTGTTTCCGAGTGTTTATGTGGGCGTGCAATCCAGGGTTGAAAGGCATCATATCCTGACGGCTTTGGACTCACCTCTGCGTGACTTGGTCGTCCCAGCAGTGGGACTGGTGGCTCCGTGCAGATGGAACTAGAACCCCACCAGCCCCATCGCTGTTTAGTTCAGGACAAAGAGCTGGAGGGACTGAAAGGTGTTTCCTACATCTAAGACCTGCGTGACTTGGTCGAGGGGAAGAATTTAGCCTGTTTGCTGCTCCTTGTTAGTGGACACAGTTTAAAGTTCTCCTGTAGAGCACCCTTTCCTCTCTTTTTTCGGATCCCTCCTGTCACGGAGCCCCTGGGCAGGGCAGCTAGCAGTCCCGCTAGTGTGAGCTCGGAATCCGCTGGACGGTGCCACTTCTCATTCTCCAGAAACCCAGGCCCCCCGTTCCCAAGCAGCACCCCTCTCGCCTTGCACTTGGCGCTGGTGCAGGGAGAGTGGGCGCAGCACATTGGGAATGGGGCGGCGGGAGGGGGGGGCCTGGGTGCGGCTCAGTTGAAGGCTTTTCTCCGCTGCCCACTCTGTTTGTGAAGAAGCTTACGCTCATCGTTGTCTAAGAGCGGGTTAGGCAGCGTATTCAGAGAGAGAGATCTGTCCCAGTGTCCCCAGGTGCCAGCACCCCCTTTGCGCTGCTCTGGCCTCCTGTGTGTGCCTCTGGCGGCCGCTTAAAGTGTCCTCAGGACGCTGTCCACGAGGGCATCCGAGGTGTCTTTGCATCCCCAGTGCCTGCCTAGCGTGGGACCTGTTGCTTGAAAGGTGTTTGATGCTGACTGTGAAATTACGCCAGGTGCCCAGAGACTCACATCCTTCCTGGCCTCCCAGCTCCTACCACCAGGGTCAGGATTGAAGTCGGGGACAGACAGAAGGGCTGCTGCTTTGGGGTCAGGCAGGCCGGAGGTCAAATCCAGGCTCAGCCGTGTGTCAGTCCTATGACCTTGACAGGTCACCTCCCTAAGCCCCCATGTCCTCATCCTTCAAGGAGGGATTATAACATCCCCCTGGTGAAGGTGTCATGAAAATTACAGGTAACATTGCATTTCCTCACAGAGGACCTCACAAGCTGCAGCCCCTAGAACAGGGGGCTTACTGACCTGAACATCTTTCTCCAAGTCTAGAGCTCTTACTTGAAAATTGCATCTCCCAATAAATGAGCAATAAATGTCACTTAATTCTGACCCACCAACAAGAAAACTTTTTGTATTTTTAAGAGGGAGAAAGGACAGTGTTTAAAATGTTAACTGCTTAAGATTCAAGTACCCAGAAATTGAAATGAGCTACAGGACTCCTATGAGCTACAGTGAGCAGCAAAATAGGCTATATTTTCCCTGTTTTAGCTCCATTCTCTGAGCGATGGGGAGTGGAACAAACAGTACATGCCTTGTGGTTTATTATGAGGACTACGTGAGGTCATAGGTAGCAAGCCTTTAAAACAGTTCCTGGAACATAGCACACACACAAATAGACAGAGTGGTTTTTTCCCCTTACACGTTATTCAGCCCTGCCGCCCAGCTACTTTCCCTTTGTCTTAGGATGGTTACTTATTTTTTCCCTGGGCAGTCACATTTGCCGCCCAGTCCTTAAGAAAAGATGAGCGTGTACCGTGAAACAGGACGTTTAACAGGAAGGCTGGGGAAGAAGCAGACGAATGGGTCATGACCTCAAGAGAAACTGGTCATTGCTTTCTGTTATCCAGGTTTGGTCGGAGGCGGACGTTAGCAGCATTTCTGTGCCTGGGAGGACTGGCTTGTCTCGTCGTAATGTTTCTTCCAGAAAAGAAAGGTAGGCCTTCCGGATTCCCACTGAAGGGCTCTGAACAGCACGCTTATTACAATGAATCTCCATCTAGCCAGGAGATTACCATATGCCAGGCTTCATTCCTGTGATTGCATGTGACTGAGCAATTGTGTGGGGTATAATGGGCCAGATTCTTCCCTCGCCTGAACTGCTCTCTGGGTGAATGATGTGCTTCGAGGTGCACTATTAATTCTTTCAGGCGATTAAGCTACCATCTGGGGTGTCTGGGCCACAGCACTGAGCTGTTAGGGTTGCAGATTTGAGGAGGAGGGGGACCGCTTAGTTCCGTAGAGAAAGGAGCTCCGTCCAGGGCTACATCTTAGTCATTCCAGCCCATCACGAGCGGGGACCTCAGAGTCACCAGTGTGGTCAGAGGTGGCTTTGGCACCTCTCAGTATCTCCATCAATACTCCCAATAATAGTAATAGCGACAAAAAGCAGAATATGCACTGTTAGTGACAATGGGCATTGCCTGAGTCTCATATAAAGTATAAGGAAAACATTTTCGGGAAACTTTGGTACTTGTATATACTGAGAGCTTTGCTGTGCAAACACAGCTTCAGAAAGGTCCCTTGAGGCATCTTCATCTCGCCTTACCTGAGCCTGTATAGAAATTGTGTAGACAGTGCTGTTCTCACCTGTGTTCTGGACCGGCACACCTGAGGCATGCTCCCTACGTTCAGGAATAAGCAAGGTGTCCATTCTACCACTTTTATGGAGCATCATGCTGAAACTACCAGCAGATACAGTAAGTGATACAAAGAAATGAGAAGGGATCCAAATTGGAAAGAAAGAGTAAAACTCTTAATTCACAATTGTCTCCATTGAAAATCTTAAGAATACACCCCCCAAAATCTAGAATTACTTAGTATAGCAAAGTCATGTGACACACAATGTTATTTCTAGATATTAGCAGCAATCAATTTAAAATGGAAACCAAACAATGCCATTTATAATAAAATATACAATATTTAGGGATACATTTTACAAAATATGTGTAAGACCTATGAAAAACTATAAAATGTAAAACATTGAAAAGATATAAAGACTAAATAAATGAATTGGTGGTAATAATAATAAAATAAATGAAGAGATTACCATGATCAAGAATCAGAAAATATTGTTTACGATAACCATTCTCTCCTGGCCAACGTGGCTCAGTGGTTGAGTGTCAGCCTACGAACTAGGAGGTCACGGTTCAGTTCCCAGTCAGGGCACATGCCCAGGTTGCGGGCTCGATCCCTGGTGTGGGACGTGCAGGAGGCAACCAATCAATGATTCTCTCTCATCTGCCTTTCTCTCCCTCTCCCTTCCTCTCTGAAATCAATAACAATATATTAAAAAAAAAAAAAAAGATATTCATTCTCCCCCAATCAATCCATTTTCAGCACAATCCCAATAAAATTTCCAGCAGCCTTCTTTTTGTTGATTGATAATGACAAGTGGGCACCTAAAATTTTATGGAAATCCAAAGGATCTAGAATCCCCAAGGTTAAGTTAGAGGACTTACCCTGCCTGATAAAAAAATGACGACTAGTTACATGAATCAAGGCTGTATGATACTGGCATAGGATTGGTTGTATAGATAATGGAACAGCGTTGAGTATGAAATAGATCCACATATGGCCAGTTGATTTTTTTTTTTTTTTTTTGAGAATGAGGTTGAGATTTTATTCACCTTTAGAAAATGTTTTATCTAGTTATCCATAGAGAAAATACACATGGTTAAGTGATTTTTAACACAGATAAGTCAACTCAATGAGAAAAAGGTCATCTTTCCAACAAATGGTGGCAGACTGAGGGGCATGCTCTGGGGGCCTGTGGCTGAGCCAGGCTCCCCAGACGGGCCACAGCTGGAGGTGTCCGGAGCCTCACGGGGGAGGGGGCCCTCGTCCAGCCTTGGATCTCGTGGGTGTAGATGATAAGCCATCTGTGACGTCCGTTCCAGTGTGGCCGCCCCCGGCCTGTTGGGAAAGGGTAGTGTGTCTCCATGCAGCTCTACAGGATGCCTTCTGGTGTGGGTTGAAAACAGACCGAGTCGTTGGCAGTCAGGCACATGTGCACATTCCTGTTTGCCCCAGCGCCACCCAATACCCGTTCCTGACTCACTCCGTTTTCTGGAGAATAATTGAAGGATTTCATCTGCCCGCACAACTGGTTTAATTGAAGTTGTTAGCTCACAAGAGTCCAGATACAGATCTCGGGGCAGGTGCAGAGGCAGGGATCTTTTTCCAGGAAAACCTCAGGGATTAACATAATATATCCAGTACTTCACATCCCAGACAGCTCCTTCCAGAGAGCCTGGCGGGAGGAGCAGCCCAGATGGCGGCTGGCAGTGCTGGGCCGCGGTGTGCAGGCGCCATCTTTAAAGCAAATGAAGATTTATTTCCTTGTCAAGCAGCGGAGGTGAAACATATTGTAGAACGGAGTGTATGGCAGGCCTCCTCCGCACACAGGTTCTTTTCACTGAATTAGTCCCTCTCATGAGGATTCAATAGTGCATGACAAGTAATATTTTTAAAACTGCACTCAATTGTCAGCAAATGCTGGTTGAACAATATATACAAAATACTTCTTAAAATAAAAAAAATAAATATAAATTATGGAGCGTGAGAGATTTTCTATGCAGTAGGATATACTTTTTCTTTCATGTGCTAGGTAAAAGTATTTGCAGCCCTGGCCAGTTTGGCTCAGTGGATAGAGCATCAGCCCCTAGACTGAAGGGTCCCGGGTTCGATTCCAGTCAAGGGCACGTACCTCAGGTGCAGGCTCCATCCCTCGCCCATACAGGAGGCAACCAATCGATGTGTTTCTCTCTGTCTCTCCCCCTCCCTCCCACTCTCTCTAAAAGTCAATGGAAAAATAGACCTTCGCGTCAGGGTTAACAACAACAACAAAATAAGTATTTGCTACATTCTGTTAAATACTGAAATGCAGAAGGAACTGCCTTGTAAGGGTCACTCCAGGAAAAGTTTACAAGAGAAGAAATAACCTCTACAGGATAAGATTTCTTTTATCAAAATAAAACTTTATAAAAACAATAATCCCTGTCATGGCCCTTCCACTGATTTGTTCAACAAATATTGAGCGAGCATCACTGAGCATCTTACTATGGAAGATGCTGCAAGCAAACTAGACCCGCCTTCGCCTGTGCTAACTCGAAATACGTTGTGGGCAGACCAGGTGGAAGAGCAAGCACCTGCAAGAGAGCCTGGCGCATGCCGGTTGAGTGGGTTGGTAAATAGGGGCAGTGAAGGTCCAAGGAAGAGGAGGCCATTGCGTATTTGAGTCATTTAAGGGAACAGTGGTTTGTGTGAGTCATGCACGCAGTCCCAAGGAAGGGGCCGGGCGTGTTCTCTTGGGCAGAAATGTCAAGGAGGATGCGAGGCAATTACCTTGGTGATCAGGACATCACTCTTGACCTTCAGGAGCAGGCATTTCAGGGGAGGGTGGCCTTGGGAGCCACATGGTGGTGAGTGACGGGCAGCTGCCTCTGAGGAAGTGGAGGGTGGTCACTCGCTGGAGATGTTTGATAGTGAAGGGGGGAAAGTACAACAGAGACGATGAGCATCTTTTCTTCTCTCGGGAGAAATTTGTTATTTTGGAGGTAGAAGCTGGTGAGTGAGTGAAGAGGGGAGGTTAACGATGTTTGAAAGGGAACAATCCTGTATTTTTAATACTGCACTCAATTGTCAGCAAATGCTAGTGGAACAATATATACAGAATATCTCTTAAAATTAAAAAATAAATGTAAATTATGTAGCATGAGAGATTTTCTATGCAATAGGATATATTTTATATAATAAAGAGCTAATATGCTAATTAGACTGGATGATGGAATGACCTTCCTGAACAACCGGGGGCGAGGCCGCGGGGCCTTGAGGCAGCCAGGGCACGAGGGCCAAGCCTCTTGCACGAATTTCCTGCATCAGGCCTCTAGTTAAATTAGAAAGTCCCAGAGGGGATATTATTAATAGAGGAAAGACCCACAGGAAAATTGATTGTATTTTTTTTATTTTTAAATATATTTTTATTGATTTCAGAGAGGAAGGAAGAGGGAGAGAGAGATAGAAACATCAATGATGAGAGAGAATCATTGATTGGCTGCCTCCTGCACGCGCCCCCACTGGGGATCGAGCCTGCAACCCAGGCATGTGCCCTTGACCAGAATCGAACCTGGGACCCTTCAGTCCACAGGCTGATGCTCTATCCACCGAGCCAAACCGGCTAGGGCTGATTGTATTTTCAATAGAGAAGTGAACTGGCATAAAATGTATTTCTTCATGTTATGTGAAAACGGGACATTAAGAAACTCAAATATCATTGATTAGTAACTCAAGTAAGTTTGGGAGGAGGAAGGATCGAAAGTGGTTCTATATTTAATTCTCTTTTTATTCACGAACATTAATGTTTCATATCTCTGGTAGTGATTTAATGGGATTATTCCTAATTTTTGCAATGGGACACCAAGGATAGCCAGTTAAATTAGAAAGTCCCAGAGGGGATATTATTATATAAAAACAATAATCCCTATTGTAGAACGGAGTGTACAATAGGGCGCTTTCCTGGCCCTCAGCCCTCGCCCCTGCTCATCTTCTCTGTCAGCCTGAACTCCCACTGCCAGCGCTGGCTGTGCTGACCACTGTTTTATTTATTTTTTATTTTTTAAATATATTTTTATTGATTTCAGAGAGGAAGGGAGAATGGAGAGTGAGACAGAGATACATCAATGATGAGAGAGAATCATTGATTGGCTGCCTCCTGCACACACCACACTGGGGATCAAGCCTACAACCCTGACCAGGAATCAAATCATGACCTCCTGGTTCATAGGTCGATGCTCAACCACTGAGCCACTCCAGCCAGGCCCGACCATTTACAGCATTGATTGTTGAACAAGGTTGGGAAGAAAGGAGACGCAGTTAACGTCTGTGGTCCATGAAGCGGACAGTTTCCCGGCGGCTCACTCTCCTCCAGTGGGGACGTTTTCAGGGAGCCCTGTCCTTCAGGAGGGAGTGCGGGTTTGGTCACAGAGTACCTCACCATGTGAGACTCCGTGGGACAGCAGCACAGCGGGAAGTACCTGCATGTGTGTGTGGGTGAGCGCTACACCTCTGAACGTGGATTCACTGACATTCCCTCCTGGCTGTTCCACATCCGCATGAATGCCCCTCCCTCCTTCAGAACGAGATGTGTCGTTTCTAAAAGCCTAGTTCCACCAATGACCTCACGGGTGTTACCCTTTGCTCCTCAGACACGGGCGTGTTCGCTGTGGTGAACAGCCGGTCCTTGTCTCTGCTGGGGAAGCTGACCATCAGCGCTGCCTTCAACGTTGTGTACATCTACACCTCTGAGCTCTACCCCACAGTCATCAGGTACGCGTCCCACAGCCTCCCTCCCACACACACAGCCTCCGCCCCACACACACAGCCTCCGTCCCACCCACACAGCCTCCCTCCCACACACACAGCCTCCGTCCCACACACACAGCCTCCGTCCCGCACACACAGCCTCCGTCCCGCACACACAGCCTCCGTCCCGCACACACAGCCTCCGTCCCGCACACACAGCCTCCGTCCCACGCACACAGCCTCCCACCCACGCACACAGCCTCCCACCCACGCACACAGCCTCCCTCCCACGCGCACAGCCTCCCTCCCACACGCACAGCCTCCCTCCCACATGCACAGCCTCCGCCCCCCACACACAGCCTCCCTCCCACACACACAGCCTCTGTCCCGCACGCAAAGCCTCCCTCCCACACACAGCCTGCCTTGTGGCCTAGGTGCTTGCATCCCAGTGCGGCCAGCAGCAGGTCAGCAAGCAGGCGGAGCTCAGAAACTGTGTGGGTGGCTCTCGGCTCCCTGGTGAAGAAATTGTAGCTTCACTTGAGCTGAATTCTCTCATGGAAATCGTGAGATGAGGACTGTGCTCTGAACATGTCCTGTCGCCCAAATAGTGCCCAGATGTCATCTCATTTTGGTGACTTCATTTCTTAATAAAGTCACCCACCCCCGTGTCAAGGCACATGACAGGCAAGGGGACATGTTCTCACGGAGCCTACATTTTAGTGCAAAATGTACACATTTTAAAAATTAAATTTATTAGGGCTACATTGGCTAATAGCATTCTAAGATATACACATTTTAAAGAGGACAGTTCCATAGAGGCATAAGTAAATGTCAGATATACATAGTAGGTGGATTTAATGAGTAGGACAGGCTTATATTAAAAAGAACCTATTCCATCCCAAGTTTCCCCACAGAGAATGGGCCTGAAAACAAAAACCAACAAATGTGAAGGCCCGGGATGCATCTCAGTCCTCACGGAACCGCCCCTGTGAGCTGGGCCGGATTCCCTCAGCCGCACTTGCCAGGGATGCGTGTGGGAGGCAACCAATGGATGTGTCCCTCTCACATCAATGTTTCCCTCCCCTCCATTCTCTTTAAAAAAAAAAAAAATCAATGGAAAAATATCCTCAGGTGAGGATGAAAAAAAAAAGGTACCAATGCAGCTCCTCATCCTTCGTCCCACTTGGAGCAGAGGCTCCGTGGCTGCGTCCAGTGGCTTCCACGCTGGGCGGTCAGTCGCAGACACCGGCAGCACCGCAGGGCTCGTGGGCGGCACTGCTCTCCTGGACCCCGAGTGTTTACTGCAGGATGTTGTTCTAGGCCCCCCCCCCACACACACACACACCCCAGGGTCTTCAAATTGCCCCCCTAGAACTTACTGAATTTTGTCACTTTCTTCTGCCTTTCAGGAATGTTGGGCTTGGCACCTGCTCCATGTTCTCCCGCGTCGGTGGGATCATTGCTCCCTTCGTCCCCTCTCTGGTTGGTTTGTTCCTCCTTGCCTTGTTTTTCTTGATCCTCTGCTTTGGAGATGCCTGTGGGTTTTCGTAGAAAGAGGTCATGGGCCGCTGCCATTTAAGATCAGCCCGACGCACCCGGGACCGTGTGCCTTTTAGAGGCAGGGTCTGCAGGGCGGACGGACTCCTCCCGGGATGCTTTCACCCCCCGGCTCTGATTTTCCGCTCATCCGTGCTCTCCGGACCCTCAGCTGAAGCCAGCTTGTCCCTTCTTGTCCCCATTCACAAGCTAGTCCATTAGGGAGCGCTTATGAGGCGTCTGCCGTGTGCGGGCTCCATGCTCAGCTCCCTCCCTATGTCGCCTCCTGCAGTCACAGCGACACAGAGGCGGGCGGTGTGCAACCCTGATTAGAGGTGAGAATGCAGCAGGAAGAGGTGACATATCTCCCCACGCACACCACTTGGAAAAGAAACTCAGAGGAGAAACACGCCTAGCAGTGTGTCTATGAATGCTTTCTGCCATTTTCTAAATGTAACAGAGCGAAGAGTTAGACTTAAATGACAGCCCGAATCCTTCCCGCCAGGAAGGTTCTCAGGCTCAGCTCGGGGCCCGCGGAGACCAGGCAGTCTCTGCGGGGTCTGACCTAGGACTCCCCGCCTAGACTCGCGGGGACAGGTTTGGGTGGCGCTGTGGATGTTCTGCGGACAACTGTCCACCACCCACCGCCTCCTCGCCCCGGACGTCTCTGAAACGCACCGTAGCTGTTCCTTGTTTTGGGTTTCAATGCACTTCCTTTTTCTGAGTATCTCTCCCCGTGTCTCGTGCTTCATTTGCGGTTACAAGACCCTTCTTTCGAAGGACTCATATGAGTTCCCTCTAAAGCGTGCCTGACATTAGGGTTCATGGTTAAAGACCCACCTTTGGCTGCCACCCTGGAGCATGGAGACCCAGCCCTGGGTCTCTGTTGGCTCCCGCCAGGCAGAGAAGAGGCGAGAGTGTGTTCACTGTGATTGAGCAACACGTCCATGTGCTGGACGTGTGTTTGCCCAGAGGTGGCCAGAGGTCAGAGATCCTGCTGCTCCCCGTCTGTCCCCTCCTCTCCCTCCCCCTCCCCCTCCTCCTTTTCCATCATCTCTTCACTTTTGAAAAATCAGCAAAACTGCCAGCAGCAAATATCGGGGGCGTGTCCTAAGTGAAGAGTATGGGCTGGAAGCTGCACCCCTGGAACGGAAGCTGAGCCCCAGGTTCCCTGCGAACTCTGGCTTTGGGGGCTGGCTGCCCCGCCCCCAGGGGGTGCCCCATGCAGAGCACAGCCTGCCCTGACCCCCAGGGCTGTTACTCTCACTCCCCTCCGTGCCTGAGGGATCACCATCCCCAGGGCCATTCTCTCTGGGGAGAGACTGGTTTGTAGTGTATTCCGGTGGAAGGCATGGGCGGGGCAGTAAGCAGGACGGGTCATCTCCAGGGAAACTAATGCTGAGTTTCTGTTTGTTTCCATTCCACTCCCTGCCCCACAGAAATATGTGCAGTGGTCTTTACCATTCATTGTCTTTGGAGCCACGGGCCTGGCCGCGGGCCTGCTGAGTCTGTTATTGCCTGAAACCCTGAACGCCCCGTTGCTGGAGACCGTTTCCGACCTCCAGGTGTACTCCTACCGGAGTCTGGGGGACGAAGCTCTGTCTTTGCAGACCCTGGATGTCCCACAGGTATGGCCGTGTCCTACGCATTCAGAATCACCACTTAGAGGACAAATAGTTCTTTTTAAACATGTATTTTTATTGATTTCAGAGAGGAAGGGGAAGGGATAGAGTCAGAAACATCCATGATGAGAGAGAATCATAGATGGGCTGCCTCCTGCACGCCCCCCACTGGGGATTGAGCCCGCCACCCGGGCCTGTGCCCTGACCAGGAATCCAGCCGTGACCTCCTGGTTCATAGGTTGACGCTCAACCACTGAGCCACACGGGCTGGGCGATGATGGTCATTTTTCTTTGGGCCGGGGAGGGGGAAGTGTGTCTGGTTAGAGGAAACAGATCTGAGCAAAACTCATGGAAAAAAAAGGTGGGGTGTCATAGCAACTGCTTTTCAGAGAAATAAAGATGATTGATGGTTCAGTAGCTTCCTTAGGACGCCTTGGGGCTAATTCCTAGGAGAATAGATGTCACAGAGAGACGCGTCAGTTAGACGCTCGATAGTAATTCTCATTTTGGGAACGTCATGACATCCTTTCACGCCGCTGTCCTCTCCTGTTGCAGTCCGCGGACAAGGGCGGCGCTCTGGGGAGCGAGAGCGAAGAGGAAGAGTTTTATGATGCGGATGAAGGGACTCACATGATCAAGTGAGAGGCCCCAGGTTCCGCCTCCGGGGCAGGGGGCCATCTTTCATGCCTCCGGCGAAGGCAGGTTCTGCCGGGAACTGGAGAGAGCTGGGCTCGGACACAGGTCGAAGGTGCTCCGCTTCGGGGCTGACTGTTTCCAGGCACAGATCGAGCTGGAGAAGAGAGTCCCTGAGTGAGGCCATCACTGCATTGAGGACACAGATGCTACTGTGTCCAGCATCCGGGTTTAGCTCAGAATCACGACCTCCGGCCTGACGCTCAAATCCACAGCCAGAGCAGCAAACCCACCTGTTTCTAGAAGTGCGATCGGGCTGCTGTTCCTTCGTCAGGACCTGAAGGCAGATAGGTGAAAAGTTTTTCTCACCGTTTCAGTAACAGAAGATAAACACCCTTAAGGTTTCATTGCTAGGTCCTTACGATTCATCTTTATATCCTGTTTGATGTCTCCCCTCACCGGTTGCTCCTCACCAGGAATCTGTGAGGCACGCTGGCCTGCGCAGAGGAAAACCCAGCCTCTGTGTGGCCCGGGGCCCCCCTCCCGAAATCTGCGGCCTCGCCTTGGTTTGCAGCCTCCTGGTGGGCTTGAGCTCCGTGTGTCCTCAGTCCCACAGAGAATCCTCTAGGAAAAGCCAGCTGTACCAACACGTTCTCGGTCAGAGGTTGCCTGCGACTCCCTGTGAGCCCCATCAACGCTCCCATTGTGGAATTTCTTCAGTTCCCACTGTGTGCCCCTCTGGAAAAATTCCATCGCAGATTCTAGTGCCAGCAGTGACTTCAAAATCTCGCCCAGCGCCTGACGGAGTTTTATCAGGGTGGAGGGCACTTACCAAAAATAGCATGCTGAGCACGTGGATGTTGGAGGTGAGGGGGGAAGGTGCCATTTTTAATAAGGAAGAAGAGAAAATGACCTTCCGCAAGTTTTAAATGTGCTTTGTTTTCAGTGTCATGCAGTGAGGGACTTGGGCAACGTTTAAGAACTTGAACCCTTCTAGTCCGAGGCCCGCCCTTCCCCATGTAGTCAAGTGGAAGGCACAGTAATTTCATAGAAAGACTTGGTTTTTCACTAAGTACTACCACCTTTCAAGAAAATCAAAATCATACTGAGTTTCCTAAAATCATTCACTAAGATCTGTTTCCCCATGAAACTTGACTGTTACCTCACATCGGAATATTCACCCCGAGTCAGTGGGCTTGGGCAGCAGCACTTTAAGTCACTTTCCCACCCAGGAAAATGTGTGTTTTCAGAATTGCCATTTCTACTGATCTCTTAGAGAGAGAGATTGCATTAGAGGAAAAGAGATGACGTCGCCGTGACTGCTTCTGGGAACTGGGAGGCGTCACCCCACCGGCTGCAGCACTCTCCTGTCCTTCCGCATCGGCCTCTCCGTTCGCACTGTGTCCGTCTGTCCTCTGTATTTGCGGAAGGGTTTTCATGTCCTTACGCCCTGACGATGTGCTGCGCTCTTCATAAGCAGGGCGTCTCAACCACGTTTTACATCTCTGTGCCACGCCCAGAACGTGGGCCTGGATGCCGTAGGGACTAGTAAGGGGCACTGTTTCGCCTCCAGGGAGGTTATGGAACTCCTCCCAGTGTTGTAAAGCCCGGGCAGATGCAGCCCAGACCCCCAGATTGGGGAGTCCTGCTTCTCTGGAAGCAAAGACCCTGTCCACCACCTGCGAGGAAGAACTTGCAAGGACACTTAGCTCTTCTCCGGTGGTCGGGGCATTCAAAATAAAACAATAAACTAAGACACTTGTGGTCTGGGGTCGTTTGAAGCTCTTTCTTTGCGTTGTAAGAGTAATGCATCCCATTATAGAAAAGTTGGAAACCAGAATTTAAAGAATGTCTTACTCATCGGCTCAATACCCAGCGACAGCCAGTGTTGACTTGGTTCTATTTGAAAACCAGTTAGGACTCTGTCTCTGGGTTGGCACTGAGGTTCCCTCTGCCCCTGGCTGAATAGAAAAGAGCTAGCTTCGGGACTGACTGAAGGAAGTTAACAGAAAAGCAATAGATTTGGGGAAAGTATTTGCAACTTCTTTAAGAGACAAGGATTAATATCCAGAATATATTAAAAATTAGTGAAATCAGAAAGAAAAGCTCACAAAAAAATCCTGTTAGGCAATTCCTCAGCCTCTCTGGAGAATCAGAGAAATGCAAGTTGAAACAAAAATATTTAAAATCCATAAGATTCGGGGAGGAGGGGGGGGTCATAAAATCAAAACGTGAAGATATAGAGAAAAGAATGTACTTACATCCTGATGGAAGCATAAATGTATTCAACAACATACCAATAGCAGCCAGTTGAAAATGTGCATATTCTATGATATAGAAATTCTGCTCTATGTCCATGTTGTGGATCTGTTTTCAGATATTTTGATTGTAACCCATCATAAGAAAAATGTTTTACACTATGACACGTACAATACACAAACCTACATACATGTCCGTGTGTGTGTGTGTGTGTGTGTGTGTGTGTCTCCACAATTTTATAGAATAATACTTAGCCTGTATTCTGTATTGTCTTTTCTCTGCTATTTTACTTTAAAATGAAAAGAATTCTGGTGAAAACACACAAGTGATTTCACAATTCACAAGCAGATCAGAACATGCAGGTGGAAAAAATGAAACATCACACCGTCAGTATTTTCCTTATTACTTACCTAGTGCACATGTGCAAGGAGGTGTGTACAAAGATGTAGTTGCAGTGAAAAGTGACATTAAATACTTTCCCTAAGCAAATGTATAGATACTATTTTATATTCATAGAATGGAATGAGTAACATAGGAGTTCTGTGTATTGAGGTGGATGGATCCCAACAACATTGACCCAAATGCGGCAAATTTTTGCTAGATCAAGGTCATTTCAAGGTTAAATTATTTAGTGAATGACTGGAGTCCTTGCTCATTAAAGAGATTCAAATGCTTTTTATGTCATACTTCACAATCAAGACTGTTGATATTGTCTTGTAGAAATACAGAAGTCTCACAGTTATTCCCACCCTGAAGAGGAGCTATTCCTCTTCCCTGTGGGCCTGAATTTCTTTGGAACAAGCGTTTTGCATCATGGAAACATTTAGAAAACTTTTCAGCTGAGACCCTAGAGCTCTGTAGGATAAAGCTTAGGAGAGATTACTTACCTATTGAAAAGTGTCAAGGGCCGACGAAGCCAGATAGTCTTACAGTAACTTCAGTCTAGGCCCCGCAGAACAATTAATTTCAAATAGAATAGATTCCAGTGGAATCGCTTCACTTCAAAATACAGCTTCAAGAAGTTGAATGAAATGAATGTGTAAGATGGCAAAAAAAAAAAAAAAAAAATGTACACCCAACTTGAAGGGAAGCTTAATAAATGAATGCCAATAGGTGGACAGAGCTTCCAGAAACCACCATAGAGGCAGTATGTAGAGGAAGCCTATTGCTGTAGTACAGAGGGCAGCCTCCTGGGCACAGCACAGGGCTAGGAGTGCATCCAGGGAGGTAAACAGGAAGCATTCAGCACGGGAGGCACTTGAGAGTAGGTGAACATCCATCACGTCAGATAATTAGGGGTTGGTTGGTTTTTAGCCAAATTCAGTTTATCCTGTTAATTTAAAAAAGACTTACTATTAGAACATCGGTTGATGTTATACATTAGAATAACAGACTTTTAAATTTAATTTTTAAATTAAATATATTGGGGTGACATTGGTTATATTAGGGTTTTTTAATCCTTGAAGCTCAGCTATTCTTGCTGGTGATAATACAACAGGTTCCTTGACTTTCTAGAGCCACTTTAATTATGAATGCATTTCCCCACAGATAGGAATTCGCTCTCCTGTTTGCTGTTGCAGGTGGCATGCCTCCATTTAATCGTGTAGCAGGATCAAGCAGTATGTGTCTGAATGTGAAAGAAGAGGGTGCAGAACACGTGGCCCGCTGCCCACAGCTGGCGTGTGATCTGACCAGCAGCTTTCCTTCTCTACGCTAGTCCTTTTTTTAATTTTTCTGACAATTTTATTAAATGTATTAGGGTAACATTGGTTAATTAATAAGATTATATAGATTTCAAGGGTATACTCCTGTTATACGTCATCTGTCTATTGTATTGTGTGTTCATCACCCAAAGTCAAGTCGCCATATATTTGACCCCCTTTTCCTCCCTCCACCCCCGCTTTCCCTCTGGTCACTACCATACTGTTGTCTGTGTCTGTGAGTTTTTTGTTTGTCTTGTTTGTTCGTTTGTTGCTTTCTGTTTTATATCCCACATAGGAGTCAAAACACATGGCTCTCAACTTTTTCCATCGGACTTATTTTCCTAGCATGAGATTCTCAAGGTCAGTAGTACTGAAGAAATACTAACAACATCTCATGGATGATCCTTTCTTGAGGAAACAGATGGACTGTCATCAGCAAATACATTAAAGTCTCACATCTATTTGCTTGATATACAAAACAGGAAAACAATGACCTGCAATGAAGTATGCCTGTCATACGCTTGCTTCTAGTGCAACATAGATTGGAAAACTTAATTCTAAAGTTTATAGAGAAGAACAGCAGAGAGCAGTTCATTTTGAGTAATATTCTTCCCATTTCTTATGGTAATTAATTTTTCCATTATAGTTTCCTCTGATTGGATACTATAACCGAGGGAGAAGAGGAGGATGAAGATCATCCGCTTTTACAGGAAGAAGGGCAGCAGAAAACTGAGGTTAGGAAGCGACAATCACGCTGACTTTTCCATAAAGACTCCCAAGGACCTTCTTAGTAATTGAGGGTTGTATTAGTTTCCTACTGATGCTGTAACAAATGTCCACACACCTAGTGGCTTCAGACCAAGCAAACTTATTCTGTTATGGTCCCGGCGGTCAGACGACAAATGAATCTTACGGGGGTAAAACGATTATGTCAGCAGAGCCGGTTTCTTCTGATTCTCCAGAAGAATCCATTCCTTGTCTCTTGCAGCTCCTGGAGGCTACAGCATTGCTTGGTCCTGGCCTCATCCCTCCAGTCTCTGCTTCTGTGGTCGCTTAGCCTTCATCTCACTCTGGTCTCCTGCCTCCCCCTGTAAGGAAGGGCCCACCGAGATAACTCAGGCCTCTCTTTCCACTTGAAGATCCGTACCTTTTGCCATAAAAGGTAACATTCAAGGGTTATGGGGAGTAGAATGGAGATCTCTTTGGGGGCCGTTATTTAGCCTATCCCAGGTGTGTTTTTTGAAAATTAGATTTATTGGGGTGACATACAGGTTTCAGGTGTGGATTTCTATGTTACAAGGTCTGTATATTGCACTGTGTGCCCAACACCCAAAGTCAAATCATCCTCCATCACCATATATTGGGCTCCTCCCACCCCCGCCCCACCCACCCCCTTCCCTCTGGCCACCACCACCCTGCTGTTTGATACCACAGGTGTGTTATGTGTATCAGCAAGTGATCCTAACTAGAGGGAGCCTGTTGGAGTCTTCAGTGTATAATGTTAAGTTTTATAAAATAACCTAGTCATCGTCAGGAGAAGCCAGCCCCAGACATGGGTAACAGCCTCAAATCTGCATCTATTAGTATTATTGATCTTATTGACTCCCACTTACTGTTTGAAAGGATGAATTTTAACCCCGCTAAGCCTTCATTTCTGAGTTTATTTTTGCTGCATCTTAACAATTTCCAGCAGGTTTTTTAAAAATGGAAACCAGTGCTGTTATTACCTCTGCTTTGCTGTGTGCTCTTAATCATCCTCAAGTTTCCATTATAGCGCTTATGGTGATTTAATACATCATGATGCCTCCCCTGGTAGGTCGTAAGCTCTGTGAAAACTGGGTACATGTCTTCTTTCGTTCCTACTGCGTGGACCCAGTGTGTCCTAGGCATTCAAATGTTTCTGAAAGAACGCATAAGTCTTTCACCATTTTTCCATATGAGCGCTGTTGCTACCTCACATTGAAAAGCAAACAAAGGCTGTATCCTATTCATCTTAGTAACTCTAAGAACCAGCACAATATCTAGAACACTGTAGGCATTTATTAACTTTTTAAATGAATGCATGCCCAGGCATAAGGCAGTCAGGATTGACTTAACTGGTCGAGCAGGTAATGTACTCAAAAGGGACACTTCCCCAAAATCCATTTTCGAGGGAGGCCTATGGATTACTTAGCTTCAGGAAAGCCCCTTATAGATAACCAGAAAAACCTTCATTCCAATGTAACCTTCTTATTCCTTAATCTCACCATTCTGTGCAAAGTTAGAGTTAAGATTAGAATACATTTAAGAGAGAAACGATCCCTTTTAGCAGGGTCTCCGGTTTCTACCTTGAAAATGGAAGTAAGCAAGGAAGGATTGATTATTAAATAAATTCTCCATGTACTTCTAGACATTACTAAAGTACCATTCACCCTACTGGTTGTAGAATAAATGAATTTGATGATTTTTAAAACGGAGACCTCTCCCTGCCCCCACTGAGAGGCAGTCTACCCTATGAAGGTGTTCTTGAGAGGAAATTTTGGCATAACCATCAATGTTATACATTCAGTTCTCTTAAAATAATTCATCAGGGAAACACACATAACAAGTTTGGAAATACTGTCCATTTGATTCCAGGCACGTGAGGGATCAGCACATTAAGAAAAAAAAAAAATCAGCCCTAGCTGGTTTGGCTCAGTGGATAGAGCGTCGGCCTGCAGACTGAAGGGTCCAGGTTTGATTCCAGTCAAGGGCATGTACCTCGGTTGCAGGCTCAATACTTGTCCCTGGTTGGGGTGTGTGTGGGAGGCAACCTATCGATGTGTCTTT